ATATTTACAGACCATAAACCTTTAAAATATCTTCTAGAAGCACCTATGCAAAACAAAAGAATTCAGCTTTGGGCTTTAAATATTTCTGCCTATAACTGTAAAATTGAATATTTGCCCGGAAAATTAAATTTAATTGCCGATTTCTTTTCTAGACCTCCAGCTGATGATAAAAATGCTAACAAGTCCGATATTGAACTTTATGAGCCCGATATTAATGACAATGCCTTCGAAATAACAGTCTCAAATTCAAGTAATAATTCAAATAATGATAATGTACATGCTGTGAAAACTGATGAAAGCTATGAAGTAAATGCTTTTGATTCTACGCATCTTAATGCCAAAGAAATAGCAAACAAAGAATACCAATCTCAAGAGCCAATTGTAGAAGATATTAAACAATTAGAAAAATTAAATATGGCTTCAGAGCAAGATAAAGATCAAACTATTCTTGAACTGAAAATGTTACTACGTCACGGACAGCCAACTAAATCAGTGCAGAGCAAATATTTAGAAATTGACCAAGTTCTTTATTATCTGTCTAATGTAGATAATGATCCTAATCTTAGATTGTTTGGTCCGCAACACTTTAAACACCTTGTCATTACTCAATATCATTTAAATAATGGTCACTCAGGAACACAGAGGTTATTTACAACAGTAAAACAAAAATATTTTTGGCCAAATATGTTCAAAGAATTGTATGAATATGTTTCAAAATGTGTTGATTGTCAGTCACGTAATCTTACAAAAATAAAAGCACCTATGGGCGAGACAAGAATACCAATGTATTCATTTCAGACAATGAGTATCGACGGTATAGGACCCTATGAAAAAACAATGAGTGGTAATCGCTACATTATATGTTTTATTGACCTTTACAGTGGTTATCCCGAGTGTTTTCCTACTGCTGACAAAAGTACTGATACAATTATACATTTGCTTTTAGAAGAAATTTACCCTAGATATGCATGTCTATTACAAATTGTCACTGACAATGGATCAGAATTTACAAGTAATGCTTTCAAAGAAACACTTAAAGAGTTAAGAATTGATCATGTGCGTACAACTACCTATCATGCTGCCGGAAACGCTAAAAATGAACGTTCTCACCATGTCATACATGATATCTTAGCTAAAAGAATCCAGGGAAATCTCAAACAATGGGATATTCATCTTAACATGACACTAGCCGCACTTAGATTCAATGTCTCTAGGACTTCAAAGCATAGTCCATTTTATTTGTTATATAACCGTGATGCAATATTACCGGTGGACCTGTTGCTACAACCAAGGCAACGCTATCATGGCGAAGAATATCACAAAATTGCTTTACAAGAACAACATCATACTTTTCTATCTGTTTATAAGAACCTTAAAAAAGCTAAACGCGAACAAGCTTGCTACGCAGATAAGACCGCAAAAGATATCAAATTTGAAATAGGCGATCCCGTATTCTATAAGAATTTTCGTGAGAGAAGCAAACTAGATGTGAACTGGAAACCATTTTATAGAATTATGGAAAAAAAAGTCACCATTAACTTATATAATAAAAAATCAGCTTGACAATTCAACAGTTAAAGTCCATGCAGAACAAATTAGGCTTGCAAATATTAATGACTGGCCTATACCCAAAGCAGATAATACTGGCCGACCAAAAAGAAATGCCACATTTGTAGTTACACCTGAAAATAGCGATACTGATGATGCTTCAGAAATACCAGAATCAGTATTACCCCAAGTTTCTAAGAATGTAAGAAAAGAGAGGTCAAATTCTGATAGTGAAGATGATATTCCATTAGCTGAATTACAGAAACATCTTCGACAACAACAACAAATTTCAAATAATGACAATGCTCAAAGTAATGCACATTCAGAAGAAATGCAATCGCAGACTGATTCAGAATTATCAGACTCAATTTCCATACATTCAAGTAAATATCAATCCTCAGTCACAAGCAGCATATAATGCTATTCAGTCAGATTCAATGGCTGATGATAATGATTCAGATAATGAAATGTTTATAAACTCTATTTCTACTAAAAAGAAAAGTATTGTAAAACCACGATATAAAGTATCTGGTAAGGTAAACACAAAGTTACATAGTAAAGATAAAGGGTCGAAATCAAGTTTTAAAATGATTTTACAAGGATTAGCTGAATTGTTATAGAACGTTTTATTCCGTGTTATATGCTATACTAATTTTCGGTAAATTGACCTCAGGCAGTGTAAATAGTTATTAAGAGAAAAATAAAGAAAGCATAATATATAAACAAAAAAAAATACATCATTTGTATTATATATCTTTATATTTTTGGTGGTTGTATTCATTTTTTATATGTTATAAGAAACAAATATAAAAAAAACAGAAAATTACATCATTTGATTATAAAGTATCCTACGACAATAACTGGCCGTTATGCTTTATGAAAATTGAAAGCATTATCATCTTTATATATACTTATTTTTTTTTCTGTTACAATCCTCAAATAAGTTTTCTTTCTTTTAAAAAGGTGTATGACTAACAAATCCAAATTATATCCTTCTGAATCTTACACAATTATTTTCCTCCATGAAATACACAACTTTAAAAAATGGCTGCGTTTACATTTTAGAAAGCCAGGTCTAATATAAATTCGCAGTTAAGTAAACAGAAATATGGATGGATGGTTGGAATTTTTTCTGCTGCAAGAATGTTTGTTTTTATTATTAAAACAAGCGATCATTCATATTTTTTTATAAAATGAATAAATATCACCGTCATTTAACCTTGATTGGCGGACTTATTTTTCAGCTCAAGACTTCTTGTTTTAAATGAGAAATTCCGTCTAAATGGGGCTCTCAATGGGGGAAACGGATTTTAATATTAACATTAAAATTATGGAAATTTCGTTTTAACTTGTTTTTAAGCATAAAATAAAAAAGAAAATTTGTCTGTTTGTTGTGTAAGATGTAATTTTTATTTCATCTCGTGAACTTTAAAAACAGTATTTCCTCACTCGTGGCTATGCACTCGTGAGAATACTGTTTTTAAAGCTCACTTCGATGAAATAAAATTTCATCTTACACACAAAACAAACAATATCCTCTATATATTATAATTTTCAAGTTTGTAGAAAATATATTTCTTGATTTTTTTTTTTATGCTTAAAATGATCGTTTATTCGCTATATGTTTATTAAATAGATCGGTTAGTTTAATAATGTATTTTTAAGTAAATGACAGCACTTAATCGCATTTTCCAATTTGATTATTCACTTTTATTTCATATTAGAATACATGGTGTATACATACATGTTTTAATCCAACGCACAATTCATTAAATAAAGTTAAAATTGGGCATAAAGTTCTTATTGCCAAAATAAACAAAGTTCATAGCTTAGTTAAAACTAACAAAAAAATGTCTAAAAATTCAATATGAAAAAGTAAATTTTAAAAATATCAAGTATTTAAAATAAATAAGATACTTACATTAAAAACTTTTTATTGGGAATTTTTTATTATGCTTTTTATGACATTGTCCTTTTTTTATTTGAAAAAATTAGGGGGTTTTTTAAAAATCTTTAACCCTCTGAAACGGGCAAAAATGCAAAATATTGGTTTTTAAAAAAGGTATTGTTTTGTGTGCGAGCAACCGCCACAGGAAAACACCCCTGCTAGACATTATTACAAACTATAATATTTAACTAATGTTACTTTAATATATTATTTTTGTAGAATAACAATTACATTAACTGATAACAATGTCGAATGTTTATTTCTCAATCGATTCAATATAAAGCATTTTTTTGCATAAAGATTAATCGAACATTTAACAATAATTACTGTTTTACTTATTCAAAATTAATATCAAAAGTAAAGTTATTTTTACCTGTGCTGTCAATCCAAATTTCTCTATTAAAATGAATTCAAAAATGAAAAGGTTACACACGAAAATCAATTGACCAATCAGAGAGATAGATGACATCTCTGACCGGATATGACCTTAGGTAATTTTTCTTTTCAAAATAAAGTAAGAAAAGGTCGTTAGATAACATCTCTGACCGGATATGACCTTAGGTGATTTTTCTTTTAAAATAAAGTAACAAAAGGTTGATATATAACATCCTTACCTTGGGGGCAAAAACATAGACCTATATTAATTCATTTCAAAAAGGATTTTTTTGCTATATTTGTTAACAAAGAAAAAAATATAAATCTATGTAATAATCCTTTTTTTTAAATATTTTTTTATATAAGAAAAGGAGGAATATTTGTCGTACAGTTGATTGCACAGGTTAATTGGACATACATGTTATATTCAAAAAGAATGACAACAAAAAGATCTTACAAGTGCATGTTTTTATTTCATAATGCGAAATGTAAAAACATGACGTTGATTTATGAATATTGTGGTACAGGATGCATACAGACTGGGCTAAATAGTAATAATATGTCAAAATGATAGATAGCGTATTTGGGAGTCGGCTAGATTTCATAACATTTTATGTGGAAGCTGTCATTATATATTTTGGGCTGGTTATTCAGTCTAGGAGTTCGAATTTGGTATTTCACTTGTACACTTGTGTATTTGTATTTATATATTAAAAGTATGTAACATCCGTGAGTTCTCTCTCCGTTATACGACATATAATCTCCATACTGCCATCCACCATATATCAAGTTTCATAAAAATATTTTGGTACTTTTTGCGTTATCGCGGGATCCAGTTCTGTGGACGGACGGACTTACGGACTGACAGACAGACAGACAGACGGACGGACGGACAAACGGACGTTCCAACATTTTGGCTTTAGGGACTATTTTCTTTGTTATTTTCTTTGTTACCTTAAGGGCTACTAGCCCCTAAACCCTTTGATCACGGAATGAACCTATTGTTCTCTTTTGCTCTCTTTGCTGTTATATAGCCCCTAAACCCAAAATGTTTGCTCGGACGGACGGACAGACGGACGGAGGGTTAACCTAAAGTCCACTCCGGTTAAACCGGTAGGGGACTAAAACATTATGTTTGAACTGGTATAGCATTTTGTATGTCAAACATTATGTTTTAAATAGTATATCATTTTATATGTCATAACTGTATGTTTTTAACTGGCATAGCATTTTCTATGTCAAATATTATGTTTTCAACCGGTAAAGCATAAATTATATATATTATAACATTATGTTTTAAACTGGTCTAGCATTTATAAGTCATCACATTATGTTTTTACTTGGTATAGCATTTGTTTATTATTATACAATTATTGACTAGTGAGCCATTGAATATGATGTGATATTCACCGGCAGATGACATATTGACCGAGGCGGTAGCCGAGGTCAATATGACTTTTTGCCGGTGAATATCACATCATATTCAATGGCTCACTAGTTAATAATTGCTTTATAATATGAATAGGCTAAGAAATAATAAAAAAATCACAAAAAAGTACAACCTTATATACATGTACAAATTTTGCCTCGTTAAAGCGCGGGAAAAAAGACGCACGTGTTAGGCGTGCAACGACTATGCGAACGCTGCTCATACAAAAAAAAACAAGTTTATACTCATCATTGCGGTGTAGCCTTTAAGTATAATTGTAAATTAATGATATTTTAATCGAGAAATATGCTATAAAGAACAAAAAACAACAATTATTTTTTAATTAACACGCGTAATCAACAGTCTAAGGTGTATGATCATTAAATATGCGTCTCAATCTATTTTAAGACTGGGAAAATCCAATTCAGCCAGTGAATATGATACTACACCCAGTGAATATGATGTTATAAAAAGTTCCGTTGACTACCGTTTGGACCAATGAGATTGCAGCTATATTTAGATCATATAATAAAAAATTATGTTTTAAACTGGTATAGCATTTTATATGCAATAACATTATGCCTTTAACTGGTTTAGCATTTGTTTTTTACTCTTCATTGATTTAGTGGCACATCCCAAATGTTATAACATTATGTTTTACACTTTAATAGTTAGCTTACGTCACCTTTAAAGTTGAAGTCACAACAGTGTGATATATAATTCAATGATTTAGTGGTAAACACCTATTTCATAATGTTTTACGCTTCAATGATTTAGTGACACAGCATCGATGTCATAACACTATGTATTACACTTCGCTGACTTAGTGGTATAGCACCGATATCATAACGTTTAACGCTTCAATGATTTAATGGTATAGCACATATATCATATCTTTCTGGTTGGCTGGTTATCCCCGTCTGAATTCTGTGCGTTGATGGCGGAGGACTTCCGGGTGGAGATTTAAACTAAAACCGCTGTATCAGTGTCCCCAGAAATATGAAGAGCTCCTGTTTTGCTAAAAACTTGCCAACACATGACCTTCCACCTGTCGAATAAAAAACAGTGTTAACATGAGTTTAAGAGAATGTATACGTGAATGAAGTGGTTGGTACATCGTTAGAATTATTTTAATTTTTTGCTAGGTTTAAAAGTACTTTAAGAAGCTAGCTCTATAAATGCCCAACTCAAAAGCACTCACCCAAACTAAAAGGTGCAAAGTGTTCCTTGTCTTGAACGAATTCGCCTTTTTCAGACAGGAACCTCTCAGGTCTGAAATTATCCGGATCTCCCCACTTGTCTTTGTCCATCAACATAGTGAAGATAATGAACATTACGACGCTATTTTTAGGTATGGTGTAACCTTCAAACTCTGTGTCTTCTATTACAGAATGGGGAACTGTTTGAGGTGCTGTGTTGGGAACGGAACCATATATATACATATAAAATGACTATACATTTTCATTAATTTTATATATTTGGAAAGGTTTTAAATCACAGACACTGTTTATAGGTTATAGCTGATACAGAAACACTGACCTTCCGTAAATAATATTGAAAGCTCCCTCACATAAAAGAAAACCAATTCCCTTGGTGCTATTCGAGCCCACAGCGAGGAGGGAAAATTGACTTGAAACAGTGACCAATACCAATTATATATTATACTGAGCGGACAGGTAGAGAGAGATTTCCTTAATGTTTATGTATTTCAACGACGGCAAATTTCATTTTCCACCGTAATTCTTTTAATTAAAACATTATATGAAATATTGTATCTAAATATAACATAATCTTTAGAAAAGCCGAAGGCCGCTTTAAGATGATGGATAAAATGGAAAAGACTATTGACAAGTAAACGTTTTGCTTTCAGTTAAGTCATTGGAGTCTGACATATAACCTAGCTCTGGTTGGTTGGTGTTGTTTGCAAGAGCAATGACAAATCATGGAACGCTTTATATTCCGGAATAGTCCGACATTCTCCGAGTCGTAAATAGGCAACATATGTGTCTCTATGGCCGAAAACGACAATCTTGTTTACAATCAAATGTAATGTATACGGGAAAAGACGAACGTTGCCGAACTTTAACGTTGTTTTAATTTATGTAATTATTAAAATGTATATTATGATATGCACTAAAAGTTAAAGTTATAATGTGGCTAGCATGCATAAGTTGGTTAATTAAACGTATCTATTTATCAGTTATTTTTACATCAAAACATTTCACTTTCATCACTTTTAGACACCTTTCTTGACGATACCGGTCCTGGTGTCGAGCAAGAATATGTGGCTCAGTAAAGATCGAGCTCACAATTCATATGTTGAGAGACAGATACCCTCACCACAGCACATAAAGTACTAAACCTTTATTAAGCTTCTAAGCGTTTCATTTAGATAATGATATATATGCTTTCTGATAATGCAGAATAGTATTATTAACTTTTATATACATGTATGGTATTACCCAGAACAAATTACATGTATGTCAATAATTTTAGTTGAATTGCTTAATCGAAAGTTTGCTTTAGTCTATGTATTCTGTCGCAGAATCGTAATATGCTTTGTGTTTCAAGTCTTTACTCACCAATTGTACTATACCGCACAACCTCGCTTATAAAAGCTTGTAAATATGGAAGATCTTTCTTGTCATTAAGACATATGCTTCTTCCTGTACCTACAACCTGGAAATAAGACGTGAGCATTATCAGTAAACTGGTAGACCAGACAACAATTTAAAAAATGATATAAGTATTAAAATTATTCTGGAAGATCAGGTCAGATAAAAGGTAAAACAAGCACTAACAATAACAATACCGAACCAACCCGACTACAATCTTAAAGGTGACATAAGCAATAACAGTACAATTGTAGAACAGTCTACAAACCTAAAAGGTGACATAACCACGCACTAACAGTACAATGATAGAACAGTATACAGCCTAAAAGTGATATAAGCACTAACAGTACAATGATAGAACAGAATACAACATTAAAGGTGACATAAGCACTAACAGTACAATGATAGATCAGTCTACAACCTAAAAGGTGACATTACCACGCACTAACAGTACAATGATAGATCTCTACAACATAAAAGGTGACATTACCACGCACTAACAGTACAATGATAGAACAGAATACAACCTAAAAGGTGACATAAGCACTAACAGTACAATGATAGATCAGTCTACAACCTAAAAGGTGACATAAGCACTAACAGTACAATGATAGAACAGAATACAACATTAAAGGTGACATAAGCACTAACAGTACAATGATAGATCAGCGTACTACCTAAAAGGTGACATTACCACGCACTAACAGTACAATGATAGATCTCTACAACATAAAAGGTGACATTACCACGCACTAACAGTACAATTATAGAACAGACTACAACCTAAAATGTGATATAAGCACTAACAGTACAATGGTAGAACAGTCTACAACCTAAAAGGTGACATAAACACTAACATTACAATGGCAGAACAGACTACAACCTAAAAGGTGACATAAGCACTAACATTACAATGGTAGAACAGACTACAACCTAAAAGGTGACATAAACACTTACAGTATAATGATAGAACAGTCTACAACCTAAAAGGTGACATAAGCACTAACAGTACAATGGTAGAACAGAATACAACCTAAAAGGTGACATAAGCACTTACAGTACAATGATAGAACAGTCTACAACCTAAAAGGTGACATAAGCACTTACAGTACAATGATAGAACAGACTACAACCTAAAAGGTGACATAAGCACTAACAGTACAATTGTAGAACAGTCTACAACCTAAAAGGTGACATAAGCACTAACAGTACAATGGCAGAACAGACTACAACCTAAAAGGTGACATAAGCACTAACAGTACAATGGCAGAACAGACTACAACCTAAAAGGTGACATAAACACTAACAGTACAATGGCAGAACAGACTACAACTTAAAAGGTGACATAGGCACTAACAGTACAATTGTAGAACAGTATACAACCTAAAAGGTGACATAAGCACTAACAGTACAATTGTAGAACAGTCTACAACCTAAAAGGTGACATAAGCACTAACAGTACAATGATAGAACAGTCTACAACCTAAAAGGTGACATAAGCACTAACAGTATAATGATAGAACAGACTACAACCTGAAAGGCGATAGAGGCACTAACAGTACAATGGCAGAATAGTTTACAACCTAAAAGGTGACATTAGCACTAACAGTACAATGGTAGAACAGACTATAACCTAAAAGGTGATATAAGCACGAACAGTACAATGATAGATCAGACTACAACTTAAAATTTGACATAAGCACTAACAGTACAATGGTAGAACAGAATACAACCTAAAAGGTGACATAAACACTAACAGTACAATGGTAGATCAGTCTACAACCTGAAAGGTGACATAAGCACTAACAGTACAGTGGTAGAACAGTCTACAACCTAAAAGGTGACATAAGCACTAACAGTACAGTGGTAGAACAGGCTACAACCTTAATGTGACAAAAGCACTATCAGTACAATGGTAGAACAAACTTCAACCTAAAAGGTTACATAAGCACTAACAGTACAATGGCAAAACAGTCTACAGCCTTAAAGATGACATAAGCACCATCAGTACAATGCTAGAACAGACTACAACCTATAAGGTGACATAAGCACTAACAGTGTAATGGTAGAACAGACTACAACCTAAAAAATTATATAAGCACTAACAGTACAATGGCAGAACAGACTACAACTTAAAAGGTGACATAAGCAATATCAGTATAATGGCAGAACAGACTACAACCTAAATGTCGACAATGACTATCTATACAATGGTAGAACAGATAACAAACGAGTTCTACATCGTTAAAGGTGATAGAAGCACACTGGATGTTCAAACAAATAGCTTTGAAAAACACACAATAAAACGTTAAGTACATGATGTAGAACGTGAAAAGGTCTTATATAGGCTTAACATCTTTGTCTTCCAAAATCGAGTGCAGTTTGAAATAATTTATTTACTAAGACTATCAATATTAAAAATTACCTCGAGGATTTCTTTTCTGCATTTTTTCTGAATTTCCGGTTGCTTTATTAAATGAATGATTGCCCAGTTCATGGTATTTGCTGTAGTGTCAGTGCCAGCATTGAAGAGGTCGACAATCAGTCGGAACAAATTGGCCTCTAAAAATTGAAAAAAATGTAGATAAATTTCTCTTTTAAATAGCTCTATTCTAAATGGCATCAACAGTGTTGAATAATAATTTCTCTGTCTCTTATATGGAATGTGATATTGAAATGTTTGATACCCCGTAGTTATACTTCATGTTATTTTGATAGAAAAATTAACTAACATTCATTGCCGTCGTCAATTACATGTATAGTGAATTATTGTAAGAAACTCTTGTCATTTCAGTCTTGATTTGTACTGTGAAAGTAGCCTGTAGTACATTAGAAAAAGGATGGTAAATGAAATACAATATACGCACAAGATTTTGCAGTATTGTGTGTGTATTGTCCGGAACAAGGTTTTAAAGTTGTGTTGAAACTTATCTGAACAGGTATATGATATTAGTTCTGAAGATTTTAAACGTTTATATGGACTATATAAGCAATAGGTAATGGTTAAATTGCAAACAACCTGTAGTATCTGGTCTTATAGCCTTTATAGAATTTTTGTAACGGATATGTTAATTACAATACAGCAAACTTCCTTTACATGAGAAAACAAGAAATTACTTTGTAAATTTGCAGTAGGTGTGTTCACGGTTATCCAATGAAAAGCGACTTTACAAACATACAGCATTATTTTTTATAACGCATATGTGTTGGCTTAAAAAGACGAATACATATAGATAAATATGGTTAAAAGAACTGAAGAAATGAAGTTAAATATCTACCATTTATACCGTCGTCTCCACTTCCACCTTCATTTTTCAAGAAGAGGTCCACAAAATCCCGGATATTGTCGGGGTCAAAGGTTGCACGATGCTCTTCAATACGACTTTTAGCATATTTTTCAAGACTTTTGAAAACAGCTAAGCTGGCATTATTAACGTAATGAATATAATGCATTAATCAACTCTGTCCAACTTTATTTAAGTTCATAAGCATGTTTTTATCATAGCAAAAGCAGACAAACATGTATTCATACATGTAAAGACTTCTGTTTGACTGTTCGAACCACTGTTTACGTTATTTATTGTCTGCAATATTCAGTTAAAGTGTATAAAGCAATTTATCTGCTGTCTGTAGTTGAACGAATTCTTTAAAAACGAATGGCGCATGCTAAAAGGTAAGAACACTCACAAGAATAGCAGCATACTATTTTGTTCAGGAAAATTGTATTATGCTCACGTACATTTTCGAGGATGACTCTGAAGATTTTGAAAACACATGATTTTATTTACACAATATTTCATGAGATATAGCTTGATACCTTTTATTTTAATTATCACGGTATACTGTGTTTTATATATTTCGTTACAAACGCAAACTCTTACCTTTGATCCCGGGAAAAATCGTAAAATTGGTAAGAAGCTTTCGGGAAGAAAAAGACTGAGCTCTTTGAATATGACATTGACCTTGTGTATCAGGTCAATGAAAACCGGATCTTTGTATTCAAATCTAAGAGGCAAGAATCAAGAATAAAACAGTGATAACAATTACCATCTTTTATTTTGTCAATAATAGATTAGAAACTGTCTCTTACATGTACTATCAATTAATTCAAAGAAGGAGTTCATGTGCCAAGTGAGGGACGGCTATCTTTTACTTAAGATAAGAAAAGGAGCTTACAATTGGAGAAATAAACGAATATTGATGTTGATACTTTATGTGCTAAAAATTGGAACACTACATTATTAAGATATTTTATTTATTGTTGTTGCCATGGGTATGCAGTTCGAGTTGTATAAATAAAATAAATTTATACAAGTATATCACATGTAGCTAACTTTCTATGATCGCCAGTTTGACACTCAAACATTACTCGAAAATAATCTAATAAAATATTGTTGGGTAAAACCTAGTTAATTAAACTTTACAAAGGGAGGGTCAAACTAGATTATGAAAATAAAACGAAACAAAAAGTATTCAAAAGCAAAACCAAACAAGAGCCGGTTGAACCGGGTGATGCTCCCCGACTAGGTTTTGGACACAGAAAAGTATATCTTTTGTAGTTTCAGAGTTATGTCCCAGACAAAGTTCAAGTGTAATAATTCCAAACTAAGGTAAGGCAGAGTTACTGATCTTTGCACTGCACTTCTACTCAATGAGATCTATCTAACGACTTGCGCGCTACACGTCGTTTCAATATGGTGATCATTTCTGTGAAATAGTTGTAAAATCCGATTTCAAATAACGAAGTTATGGGCCGGACACGATTTTGCTGCAAGGTAATGCTGTAACCTTGACCTTCAAGGTAGCAACCCAAATGTTGCGCACGACACGCCGTCTCAATATGGTGATCATTTCAGTGAAATAGTTGTAAAATCCGACTTCAAATAACGAAGTTATTGACCGGACAAGAATTCGGAACGGACTGGCGGACGGACGGACAACCCGGCGACTATATGCTCCCCCGAATTTTTTCGGGGAGCATAAAACTATGATTACGCTTATAAGCCTTGCAGACATTCATATATCCGCCAATAGTTCATATTACGACACAATATCCATGACATGAACATATCCCTGCACGAATAAATAAATATGTAATTGCTACGATGCCAATAACTTATCAATAAAGGCACGAACCTGCTTCCGTAGACAATCCCTGCTATAATATTTGCGACGGCCATTTTGAAAGTATCACGATAATATGTTGGTTTTCCATCTAGTTTCTCTAAAACTTCACTTAGCCTGTGGAAGATACATAACAGCAAATATTGTAACATTGATCTATGCATATAAATATTTTTTTAAGTATACTTTGTTCAATGTTCTGTTAAATTGGCTTTCACAAAATAACTTTGGTGTATTTCCGCAATTTACGTTAATACTATTGTTTAACCGATATGTTAATGGTAAATGAAAACATAACAAAAGCATGATAGTATCTTACAAATTGCACTAAACGTCTTAAAGTTTGGCTTGAAACAAAACAAGACTAGCATCAGTTCATTGAATATATCTTACATTACTGCTTCTTCTTGAATTCGACCTTCGATACTTCTTTTTCCGACGCCAAACTCTCTCAGGGAACCAAGTGTAAATTTTCGGACAGTAGAATGGACATCGCCATTCAAAAAAACAAGTCCTGCAAAAATCAGTGTCGAATCAATGATTGCTTATTTGGCTACATTTTCTACCGCTACATTTTTTGGGGTTGTATTAAGAATTTGGAAGCCTATTTTAAATCCTTACACATTAATATATTAAGGGGAGAAACCAAATTTTATAAGGTTGCCTATCATCGCAGTATATAAACCAGTCTACTGCCTGTAATTGCTGGAAAGGAACAAGTTAAAATATAATAGAAATCCAGGAAAGATAAATGATCGGAAGTGACAAGACGGGGTACACATTGAATTATATAGGCTCGCAAGACATGATTTATCTACTGAGATCATGATCTAAGAAGAATGTTTTAGTCACACGGGCATGGTGGTCCTCCGGTAAATTTACAAGTTTTACAGGTGAAGGAAGTCCTCAGGTGCCCTTCAGTGCATTATTTCAGTCACAAGCAGACGCCTGAGTAGAACCGCCGACGGTCCACGACTTAAACCACTTGATCGCGGATGCCGCAAAATGAATTTATAAAAATTCATCAAGATCTGTGGTGTTGTGAACTTCTGTAAAAGGCAATTCTTTTTTTTTTCTTGGGAGCAATGAAAACATAAACAACAAAAAGATGAGAATTTCATATTCGGTTGAGACTGTTACTGACAGAAATTGAAAGCAATAATCTCTCTTGCACCAAGCTACGACTTTATCGCCATTTAATCCCCAATACAAAACAGAATTGGAAATATTAATACTTATAAATACACATTAAGCATGATAATTTACACATTCAAACGGACGATTTATATTTGGCACTGTTAGTCCACTTCAATCATTTACCTTGGTTATTGAATATGTAATTCGTAGCAAAGAAATTTGTAGGTCTGTATTTAAATGACTCGTTCATCGTGACAGCTGCCTTGGATATTTTCTCTTGACCCATAACTAGCACAATATAGTTATTTGGACCAAGTTTTAGCCGAACCAAGTCTCCGTACTTTTGTCGTAAGTTTAAGGCAACTTCATACAGTGCTCCCTGTCCTTTGACATCAAATATGTTACCTTTGAAAATATTTATTTTATTTCATTAAATCTAAAACGAAAATGCTTTGAAACCATTACAGGCCGCCCAACACGGCAGAATTGTAAATGTTGCAAATTGTTTTGATTAAAACGGTTAGTAGGTAACAGTGGTGTATGCACGCTACCGTTCGGGTCCTATGGCACCGGCTTAAGCAGAATTTAACAAGTAAGCACCATGACACCGACATGACTTTTAGTCATAAAATCTGATCCGTAGTCGGCATTTTGAGTCAATTTCTTTAAAACTTGTAGGATAGTTGGTTATATGTAAAGTAATCATCTAAATATCATGGTCTTATTATATAAGCACGTGGAAGAGATTTAATAACATTATAAAAAGGACAGTGATATATGAAATACTGGCATATATAACAAATTGTGGATATAATCCAGTCATTGGATTTAAGATTTTGAATTTACTGGCCCGAATTTAAGTTTTGAATTTATTCTACTGTATATTTAACTAAATTTTCTTAAAATTTACCCTTGCCTGGACGAATTTACACTGGCCATGGTCACCGGGCCAGTGCTAAATTCGATGACTGATAATCCAAATTCAAACGATGAAGTAAGTGAATAATGTACATGTGCATTTGATTGATTTCAAATTAGTTTTATTTAATGCGAATTTATTTTAGTCCGATTATTTTGGCGGCTTATAGCGAATCGAACCGTTACTGGAACCAACTCAGCAATGAGTGTAATGTTTTTTGCTTGTGGAAACAATATCTTCCTCGGGCAGGGTTTGAACCCACGCGGCCACCAATTCTTAGATTGCCAGTGTGACCCGTTCACTACTCCGCCTCGCCGCCACTCCCAAAGATTTAAAATTTAAGAACAAATGTTCCTTGTCCTTGTAACGAAATAAGTGCGTTAAGGTTACATAGATTACTATAATAAATCTGTTTCAATTTAAAAATAAACTACAAGAGTATTTAAAGTGTCGAATGTCATAAATCTAGGCTTATATTTTGATGAGAATCTTAAATGCAATGTCCGATTATCCGTACTAGATAAGACTTGTGCAAAAATAAATAGTAAAGATACCCTACATACATGTAAAAGGTTAAATATTATCTTACATCTGAAGTGAAACAGCTGTCATAAATAACGTTTATACATTGACCTTGTTAGATTATTGTTGCACAGTTTGAAGAAATGGTACTAAATCTGATCTCCTGACTAATCTATTTGAACTAAAAATACAAAACTAAATACACTTTAAAATAAAATAAAAAACAAATACGGACACCAACTAATGAATTATTTTCCTAACTAATATGGTTAGCTTTGAAAACATGCAATTATCAGGCTTGTGTGTCAAAATTGAAAAATATAAACACTCAAAAACGACAAACTTGACTATGTTGCAGGCTCGGTTTCATGCACAGTAGTGGTAATTGCAAGCTACCCATACCATGCTTAATATCCAAAATGCACTGGTCCAATTTTTCAATTTTGGTATTTAAAACCATTCATCATTTTAGGGGGAAAAATCAAGTCTCTTGGCTGAGAGGCGAACGGTGCGCACATACAATGATCTACAATATAGATTTCTTTAACTTTTACACTGATGAATAGATGATGGTCCATACCAATAATGGGCCATGGTTTTAGTCCCGGGGGTAGATTCGTGTATCTCTTTCCGCTAAATATATACAGACAACTAAGCACAACTGTGACGGCGACCAACATATAAACTGGCTCGAACAACAGTTGAATAAAATCCATTTTACTTTCCTTTTGTTCTTCAACTCTGTAAGAAAAAACATCCAATCCCCCTGTGAGACCCAGAACAGGAATGATAATTGCTTTTCAGATCGTAAGTAATTGGAAATCCATATGGTTCATAACTATATATAAAACATAGTTCTAAGAACAAATGTTGTAATCAATCCATGAGAATTAATGGATGCAAAATAAAATCAAAGCACAGAAGGCGCTAAATTTGTTTGGGTCTCAGAATGTCAGAAAGGTGAAGGTTGTGAGATTATAAAACAATTTAATTTTGTATAGTGCCACCAATGCTTTCCAGCGTTTTAATTGTAGTAGATTGGCTATAAGACTAATTGCAACACTGATATTCAATCCAATGTTTATTTGGCTTAAACAATTTGAAAAAAAAAGAGTTGCCTTGACTGGGATTTGAACTCCAGACCTCTCGCGAGCGAGCGCGCAAACCCCTCGGCCAAGATGAATTTTTATATTCAACCTGAAGAAAACCATATTATTCTAAATTAGGGTTTGTAACGACGCTAACTGTTGTTAAACACTTGTGTAAATAATCATGGTGCTTACTATAAGCATGTATATCTATAAAGAATAAAACTATCAGAAATCTTCGATCATTCGGGAATTATTTTGCTTGAAAATTAATGCGCCTGTCATGTGACCATATTAACGCAGTGATTTCCCCTGAATTTTTCAGCCTTAGTGTTACATATAAAGGGAAGTAACCGCTTCAAAAAAGCGGACTACTTTCGGCAAATGCAATTAACAGCATTAGACTCTGAAATTTCGCTACCATTATTTGTTTGGTCTGACGACCCAAACAAATAAAAACTCACATTTTGGCAATATACAAACTTTGATTGTTCGGAAATCGTATTGTTAGTGTCTTAAAGCGGGGGGGTGGGGTCATCAATAGGGTAAGAATACACACATGCTCATAATGGCACTTATTTCATATCTAAAGAAAACAAGGAACTACAATTTTGTGCAGGAACTGCAATTCAATTACTGGACAAGTATTAGCACCTCCAAAAATGTAAAAATTCAACCGGTATTCAAAAATATTTGTTTTCGTGGAATAGACTCTTCCCGAAAAATAGATCTTGAGCTAATTAACGTTAACTTTCTTCTTTAAGGGAAATATTTCAAATATGGTTTACCACCTATAAGCCTACAAAACACTGGTTTCGAGCTTCGTTCTGTATCTCGGTAACCAGACAAAAACATGGCGGATGGCGTGCCTCGTTTGTCGTACGGGTAGAAATTGTCAAACTTTATGGTCAAATCTTATTAATTGTATATGTCGCCGTCCAGGAACGGCGACAATAATGTGTTCACAACTGGGGAAAAAGGTCAACGCAATGTCAGATGTAAAAGTAAAAACCTCTAGTGTATGGTCATTATGTGCAGTTATTACATGGATACCATATATGTAACAAAATCTGTGAGTAGGACAAATGGCGCCATAGTTCTGTCAAATTATATGCAACAGTCAATCAGCTTTCTAAAATCTCAAATACGATTAAGTGTGTAAAGCTACAAAAAATATCATAAATGTTTGATTACAACGACTTACGCTTACGATGACAACTGGGTGGGTAGGATATCCCCACAATTCTTCGAATAGTCGAGCTAAAAAGTGATTACATACCTTTTATGTTGTTTACAAACAAATAACTATTTTTCTATTGTTAACATATTTACTACATTTATATATTGTAAACTAAAATGAAATAAACTAGGCAAAGTTATATACAAAGTATCATATAGTTCGACAACCAATTTACTATTCTTTAATTAATAAAGTGACGACCGAGTCGAGCCCAGAGGCATGACTAAGTCAATTTTTGTAGAGGATTGCAATGGGAGCACTCTATGCTCAAGTGAGATAAAATTCCGTCATCTGTAGAATAAGAACTGTAATTAATTATATATTTTGAGAATGTTAAATACAATTAAAATGAAATATTTTGATCTGTAGAAAATAATAAACAATAATGCATCGAAAATGACGTTATGCTTAAATAAATCTGTTAGATTACCTTCTTACAGTCCGTGCAAACTGTTTTTATTTGTCCTTGTTTACTTTGATAAATAGATAGCAAATAAAAACCAAAACCGTTCTATATTTTAAACTTATGAAGAAAATAGAGGATCATCACAAGTTTTATCAGAATTTATAGAAATAAACTTCAAATCTTCAAAATCTAATATTAATAGTTTTTAAAAAATATGAATGATGTTAAAGATTTCAGTCTATCATGTAAAATGAATTAAACTTTGCATCAAATAAGCCAAAATTTATTAAATTTCTTTGTATATCTCAAGAAAAAACAAAACGTCATACCCTTTGATATTATCAATACATATATTTACACAACCGCAGCTGGTAAATAAATCACATACAAAGTTCAAGTACATACATGTTGGCCCGTTTTTTTTTCATGAACCCTTTGCAAATGTATGTTATATTTACAATGCACAATCAAAACCTATTGTACACATTGATTTCGTGTGCCGCACATTATGCATGTTATTTTGAAATCATTTAGCAATGAATAAACAGGGGTTTCACCATTATTTTATACATTCCTGTTACTTTTCTTTATTCTTTGTTATATCTATACTGGTGGATGGGGACTTCAGATGACCTTCCGTGCATTATTTCAGGCACGAGCGGTCACCAGAGTACAACTGTCGACGTCCCGTAAGCTATGATAGCTTTCTCACACGTAAGAACCCTAAGTTCCTGACGGGATTAAATCCACAATGGTGAGGGGCAAGTGATATATTTCAAGTTTCAAGTATATCTTTTGATATGACCAAGACAAATAACACGTTTAAATACCCCCTCTAACTTTGTTTGTCGGGGGTACAAAGAATCAGTAAATTTAAGCCTATTCACAAAATTTTGATCAAATGTTGAGTTTTTTTATGAAATCTAGATAGCTTTTTTAGATGTTGCGCAGATATACAATTTATAGATGCAGGTTCATGTACAGACGGACAATATTGTTATTTCAATATTTCAATCACAGTGTGGATTCTGACTTGAATATATTTCAAATTCTCGTGAAGATAATAAATGTGAAGTTAAATCATAAGTACCTGTAGATTAAATTTTGACAAAACATACATTTATTTCATGTGCATGCATACAATACATTTTAAACATCTAAAATGTGTTATGAATCATGTCATGTATCATAATAATAGAATATGATAGCAATGACCCGATTCACTACATTTCTACGAGTGAATCAACACGTAAATATCAAGAACAAACATTCAAAAGTGTCATAAGGCTCTCAAATTACAAGGGTTAATATAAAAAAGCTAAAATAAATACTACTTTTAACAATGCTACGCAATAAAGAACTTATCAACTGTGTAAACAATTTTGGGGTCACTATAAAAGTTTGTGAGTTACCTGCCCTTTAAAGTGAGGTTATCACTCTTTAAAGGGCATCGTCCAATAACGTGAATTTAGATTTTAGAAATTGCTTCGAGATAAGTTTTCCTGCTATACAGTCTTACCGTTTTCTGATAATGTAACACGGATTTAATCATTGTGTGTTTAAATTTCAACGATTATGTCGTAAAGCACCGATGTTAGAACTTCATGTTTCTCACTAATATAGCACTTTATGTCACAACATGATGTAAATCATGTTTTACCTTCAATGATTTAGTGGTATAGCATTTTTGTCATAACAGGCGTTTTAGGCTTCAAAAATTTAGAGGTATAGCACATACAGTATGTCATTACAATGCGTTTTACACTTCAATGATTTTGTGAAATAGTATATACAGTATTATATTGTGTTTTACGCTTCAATGGTTTAGTAATGTAGCACCGATGTCATAACATCATATTTAACGCTTCAATGATTTAGTGGTATAGCACATATGTCATATCTTTCAGGTTGACTGGTTATTCCCGTCTGAATTCTTCGTGTTGATGGCGGAGGACTTCCAGTTGGAGATTTAAACTCAAACCGCTGTATCAGTGTTCCAAGAAATATGAATAGCTCCTGTTTTGCTAAAAACTTGCCAACGCATGACCTTCCACCTATGGAATAAAAAAAAATGCTGATTTTACATGAGTTTATAAAAATTAAATTACATGACCTTCCACCTATTGGATGAAAAATTGCTGATTGTACATGAATTAAAAAGAACATATATCTGAAAATGGTTTTGGTTCAGTGTTAGAATTAAGGATATTATCAACAATAAAGTGTCGAAATAATTTATGCACATATTCTGTTCCCGCTATGTTTGATATATTAAGCTTAAACCACAAGGGATATTTACTTATTTATATTTGAATAGTAAGTTGGTATTAAAACTGCATTTAATATTTTACTTTGTTTTACATTTTGTATGCATACAGGCCTCAACACGATTTCGTTAGATTTGAGTTTTACTCGAGGTCAAACTGAGAAAAACTCCGAAAACAAGCAATCTTTACATACATAAAGACTTTTAGATTAAAACATGAAACATCTTGAACAACTACTTAATATTTTCTGTTTCTTTTATTACATGTGACTTTTTAGTAAGTGACTTTCTTGTCAGTTTAATAATCGTAATATAAAGAAATATGTCATACATTTTTGGCACTACAAGCTATAGCTCTGTAATACCTAAATCATCAGTACTCACCCAAACCAAACGGTGCAAAGTGTTCCTTGTCTTGAACATATTCGCCTTTTTCAGACAGGAACCTCTCAGGTCTGAAATTATCCGGATCTCCCCACTTGTCTTTGTCCATCAACATAGTGAAGAGAACGAATATTACGACGCTATTTTTAGGTATGGTGTAACCTTCAAACTCTGTGTCTTCTATTACAGAATGGGGAACTGTTTGTGGTGCTGTGATGCAAACGAAAGGAAAACAATTCAAGTCAAAGATGCATAAGATGTCATTTTATAAGTTTATAAGTTTTTAGTTTTCTTTTAAGTCACACATAATTTGTAAAGATCATGTGGTAACTGGACAAGACAAACGTGGTTCCAAGGCACTTAAGAAATTTTCCTGGCTCTAACTCAGATGTTCGGTATTTGACTGGTCAAAAACGAGTACAAATGTGTGTGCACTGACCAATGAAAACCAGAGATTCACGACATACATGTATATCAGGAAAATAAACACGTTTTTAAAGCCTTGAGAAATTGGCGAAACTCAAGTAGAGACGATTTTTTTCTTTTTAAAGGCTGAATTATCCATCTCGATTTCGTTTTTGTGATTTAACCACACCGTATTACAGACAAACTCCTTCGCTTGTACCATTACTATATTGATGCCATGAAATATTGACAGTATTTAATTTAATTGCAACAGGAAATGTTCTCCACTAGAATAGTCTTACGTTTCTCACGTCTGACATGTTTCACGGCCCTCCCGTGAGATTCGTAAAAGCTTACATTTTTCACGGGTCTGACGAATCTCACGCTACACCGGCGCTGGTGATAACAACTTGTAAAAATCTGTAAAAATGGTAACGGCAGCAATCGGTCATCATTGACGCCTGTAATACGGTGTGTTTACCTCTATACGGCTTAGTTTGGTACTGGTAAAATACCGATTTGCTTTGTCGCAGTTTTGCAAATTTGTCATGGTTGTATATCTTCCGTCAAAGTGTTGTAGTATAACATTAATGAATCATTAAATGATTCTGACCAAATGCTTTGTGTTTAAAGTCTTTACTCACCAATTGAACTATACCGTAGAACCTCGTCAATAAAAGCTTGTAAATATGGAAGGTCTTTCTTGTCATCAAGACTAACGCTTCGTCCTGTACCAACAACCTGAAAAGTTGTGTACGTTTTAATAATATACCGGTCAATTAGACTATAACCTAACATGTGGTATAAGTACTATAAATATATAAGTTAAACAGACACACAAATGCAACATCAAATATGACAAAAGCGCTATCGATACATTGGTAGTACAAACTTTCAACCTATGATATGACAAGCGCTAGATCAATGCTCAATGCTCGGTATATCAGACTTGAATCCAAACAGTGGTAAGAGCACTGTAAATGCAATGACAGAAAACGGAATACCAACGTAACAAATGTGGCACAATCACTATCAACCACTATTATTGCACTAATCAAGCATACAGACATATGCAACGTTCTAAGCACGTGCACATCCATCCGGAGAAGCAAGCTGAAGAAGCTTAAGACCCCCCCCCCCTTTTGCGCTACTTAAAATAATTGATTTACTAAGAACCTTTTTTCTGTTTTATTACCTCGAGAATCTCATCCCTGCATCTTTTCTGGACTTCCGGTTGCTTAATTAGATGGATGATTGCCCAGGTCATAGTAGTGGCAGTAGTATCAGTGCCGGCATTGAAGAGGTCGACAATCAGGCGGAATAAATTGACTTCTAAAAATAACATTCATATTTTTTAAACGTAAAGCCCGTAACATTTAATTAATCGAAACCGAAGTCATTAGACTTTGCCATCGGTACAAAAACATAAATATACGCAGAAAATGTGCAGTGTCCGGTATTTGTAACACAATTATATTAAAATAATATGCAAGTGAAATTGGGCGTGTTATGTTAGACGTGTGTACAGTAACATATGGTAAAAGCAGATCAGACATTTGTTAGCTTAAATATTATACAACATATAACATCGTCTTAATGTCAGACATTAGTAATAAATATATGTAGATTAAATTCAACTTTAAAACAATTGTATAATTCAATATGACTGATAAATGAATGTTCAATATTTGTCATATAGATATATATAATATGGTAACAAGTAATTGATTGGTCATATAATTTATTTAGATCCACGTACCATTTATAGCGTCGTCTCCACTTCCGCCTTCATTCTTTAAAAACAGGTCAACAAAGTCCCGGATGTTGTCGGGGTCAAACGTTTCCCGATGCTCTTCAATACGACCTTTGACATACTTTTCAATACTTTTGACATTTGCTAGCACTTTGCTTAGCTGGAATAATCAATGTAAATATTAATAATAATTTTGTGGAAATTAAAATGAAAACGATTATAGAATTCTTCGTTTTTCGCATTTTTCGCATTTGTTTTTATTAATTTGTGAGCTACAGTCTCACTTACATCCCGGCAGAGCCCCGGTAGACGTCCGGGGTGATCTCGGAACGACCAGGGTACGACCGGGAAAAACCGGGGTACATCCGTCACTCTGCCGGTAACGTCCTGGATGATCCGGGAACATCCGGCATTCGACCCCGGGAACATCGGCATTCGACCACGGATGGAATAAAATTTTTAATATCACCGGGGTGGTCCGGGATGATCCGGGAAGTATAGCTTTGCCTGCTTCATCCTTAGCTCTGCCGGGAACGATCGGGGTCACACCGGGGAAGCACCGTAGCTCTGCCAGCACAAACCGGAGATTATTATGGGGTATTATATAGCCGGTAGAGCTACGGTAGAGCCCCGGTGAATGCAGGCAGAGCACCGGTGAATGACGGCAGAGCCCCGGAGGATGCCGGCAGAGCCCCGGAGGATGACAATGGAGCTACGGTTGATCCCGATAGAGCCCCGGCAAAGCCCGGTTCATTTCAAAAGAATCACGACAATTTGCGATAATAGCACTTGTTTGTATTAAAACCCTTCCCATTTCCCTTCTATCCAGTCTGGCATAAGGATTTTTCAGAAACTCAACATGAATTACTATTCTGGAACAATAGATATTATATTAAATAAAAAGTTTGTATCAATGTTATCATTTTCGCGCGTTTTCAATCCATCGGGGTTCTACCGGGGCTCTGTCTGGATCGTCCAGGGCTCTGCCTGGATCGACCGGGGGTCTGCCTGGGTCAACCGGGGCTCTTCCGGCGTCATCCGGGAACGACCGGGAAAGCACCGGGATGAACCGTAGCTTCAACTGGGCTCTGCCTGGATGACCCTGAGCGCATCCTGGGTGGTTTGTTGGGAACTACCGTAGTGCTGCCGGGGTTAGTGTGACCGCAACAATAATTTCACCCCGGATCGTCCCGGATCATCACGGTAACTTACCGGGATGGTCTTGGGCTCTGCCGGGAGTAAGTGAGACCGAAGCTTTAGATAGCAAACTTTGTTTATAAATGCTATACATTATTTATAATACACGTATATTTCATAACAATACAAACTCTAACCTTTGATCCCGGAAGAAATCGCAATATGGGTAAGAAGTTTTCCGGAAGAAATACGCTTAGATCTTTGAATATTTCATCGATCTTGTGAATCAAATCAGTAAAAGTCGGATCATTATACTCAAATCTAGAAGAGAAAGCAAAATGAAAAATAAAAAAAAACTTTTATGCTCCGCTTTGTCAAAAACAGATAGATCATTAATTTAACAATCAAAATAACTCAAAGGAAAGATAGACGAATTTAGAGGCAGAAGTTGCATGCACTTTGAGTTTTGAGAACCAAATGAGCAATGCAAGTGGCAGTCGGTTAGGAAAGATTCTTTATGGATTAAAAGGGATACTACCTTTTGATAAGTTCATAATGGTAAATATTGTTTCCTGCTGGCGTGTTTAGCTAATTTTTATAAAGATTCGACTGTTGAAAGGTCTAAAATGGTTGAGAATAAAACTTTTAATAAGTGTGAAAAAAGCACTAAATTCTCGGATACTTTTGAATTTGATTGAGAATATAGATCAAAACAGTGAAACAGTAAAACAAAAAAAACATTTCAAATGCAAAAAAAAACAACAAAAAACAATATACAGTGCTGTGCCTACAATTCGTATAGTATTTAATTATCCGCCCATACATTACCTAAAAAAATAAGTACAACCATTTACAAATGTACATGTAATAACAAATGACATTACGTTTCATTGCATTACTTAACATTAAATTACATGTCATCACATTATTATCACGTAATACGTCCCTGCATGTAAGCGGGGTCCGCTAAAACATGTATATAATTCAACAATCATGGCACGTACCTGCTTCCGTAGACAATTCCTGCAATAATATTTGCGACGGCCATTTTAAAGGTATCGAGATGATATGCTGGTTTTCCATCTAGTTTCTCTAAAACTTCACTTAAACTGTAAATAATATAAAGCGTATCTAAAGTAATATTCTTAGAAATAATGTTCCGCTATAAAATAAGATATTGTGTGTTGAATGAAATCGTTTTTTTTAATTGGCACATGCCAAATGTAGGTAATATGTACAATTTGCTATGATAACAACTTCATATATTTCATCCAATTTTATCTGATGGAATGGTCAATTTAGTAATCAGGTATCGCAAACAACTTGGCAACGTTTCTAGGTAAATTTCAAAACCGAAAATTGCCAAATTAGCCAAAATAAATGAGCTATAAAAAGATAAAACTTAAAAGGGAATATCAAAGCATTTCTATATACACTGTCTCAAAACTCAGCTAGTGTCAACATAAACATTCAATCTGATCATCTGAGATCTTATGCTACTAAATGAATGAAATGATCGTACATATTTTAAAATGCACGAGAACAATCGTGTGGTATGACCTGTACAGCGTCCTACAAATTACAATACAATGATCTTCCATTTTGTCTTAAATTTAAATTAAATACCAATGAGCATCAGTTCGTGGAATATGTATGAAAGACCGGTGGGACATTTCAACTTCATGACTTGAAGCTAGTAAATTCAGAGTTTCAACATACAGTTTCAAGAAGTTAAAATGTCACCACCGGTCTTTCGTAAATATATCTTACATAACTGCTTCCTCTTGAACTCGACCTTCGATACTTCGTTTCCCAACGCCGAAATCTCTCAATGCGTTTAGTGTGAATTTTCTTACACTAGAATGAACATCGCCATTCGATTGAAGAAGTCCTGCAAATACCATGTCAAACTAGTGTTCACTAAACTTGATTTCTAACCCATGTCACTTTGGAAATATTTTCTCCAACATTGTCTTGTTTCATTAAATAAAGGGTTTTAAAGTCTAATTTAAAGCTTAATATCTATTTATGGGATTCCGAGAAAGAACTATCTGATAAAATCATAAAATATTTCAATCTGAAACATTTTCAGTATAAAACTACATGCCTCAATACGAGTCAAAATAATTTAATAAAATCAATTTTTTTTAAAGCTAAGGAAAATCAAGATTCAAGTAAAAATTTAACATAATTATTATGTGCGATTAATTACTGGTTTTGCATTATCTGTCGCCATATTTCTACTACGTGATTATCGCAGTAAGGGCTATTTTTGCCTATTTTGATCTATTTTTGGAAATTTACATGGAATGTATGTGCCGTTTGTAATGTCTAATTTACTTTCTCTGTTCACTTCACAATATGTAAAGAAATGCTTTAAGTATTATGACATCTAAATGTAAAGCGTAAGCACAGTAATAACAGTAACTTACCTTTGTTTCTGAAAATATATTTTGTAGCAGCAAAATTTGTAGGTCTGTATTTAAATGACTCGTTCATCGTGACAGCTGCCTTGAATATCTTCTCTTGTCCGATAACTAGCACAATATTGTTACCCGGACCAAGGTTTAGCCGAACTATGTCTCCATACTTCTGTCGTAAGTTTAAGGCAACTTCATACAGTGCTCCCTTTCCTTTGACATCAAATATGTTACCTTTGAAAATATAACTAAATAGGATAAAAAAATAATGTTTTTTTTTTAATTTTTCCATAGTAACGAATGTTGCATTTCGCGCATGCGCATTCTGTGTAGGGCAAAACCTCAATAACGATGTATACAAATTTATCATATTTAAAGGCTTTAATAGATGTGATTCCCAGAAAACAGTAATTTTGAGATGACTTAAAGCAGTAAGTTTTTAAAATGTTAATTATTGTCTATAACAGAAATACGGATTGACAAAGATGTATATATTTCTAACAAAGAGTGTGAGGGATCTGATACTATGTTAAGAGATGAATTATTATCAAACTTAAAATGTAGTAATGTCCAATTCATGCCCGGCTTTTTTAAAACCTATTGCTTTAACATTTCAATGAAAGAAAATATTGTCCTTACCTATAATTGGCCATGGTTTCGGTCCCGGAGGAAGGTTAGTGTATTTCTTTCCTTTGATAATATACAAGAAACTTAGCACGACTATGACAGCGGCAATCAGATATACTGGCTCGAATAACTGTTGCATATAATCCATTTTGCCCTCACTCTGCAAGAAAGAAACGTATACAAATCAAATAACTCTGCATTGAGACAAAAAAGCTCAGTAATTGCCGTGGAATAACTCCGTAAATTCATACTGTTTGCATTTGACGTCCGTGGGTGTTCTACTGAACGTGTGTACTTTAATGAAAAAAAAAATGTTTCGTGTAAGACAAATGAGCCGCGTCGCGACAAAACCAACATATAGGGGTTTGCGACCAGCATGGATCCAGACCAGCCTGCGCACCCGCGCAGTCTGATCAGGATCCATGCTGTTCGCTTACAAACTCTATAACAAGTAGAGAAACTGATAGCGAACAGCATGGATCCTGATCAGACTGCGCGGATGCGCAGGCTGGTCTGGATTCATGCTGGTCGCAAACCCATTATGTTGGTTTTGTCGTGACGCGGCTGAAATAAATACATGTACATGTATTTACTCGACCATCTATATATTTAAAATTTAGTAATACAGATATTCAAATGATGTTGAATAGCATTTTTTTTAAAATTCATTAAAAAGATTTTTTTTAAATAATAAAAAAAATTAACAACTATAAAAACGATAAGAATAATCGATTAAGCTAAACATTGAGTATGGAAAAAATAGTAACCTTACCTGATGACAGCGCGTTTTACACTGTTTATAACTTATCATTTTTATGTTTACTTTTATATCGAATGAAAACCGTCCTCTATTTTAACCTTTTTTCGAACTCATGAATTTTAGAGAGCACAGTAGTATGAAGTTTTAACGCTCATGTGGGATCCGCAAAATATTGAAATCCCTATACGAATTCACGAAGAAATTTCATATCGGGAAAAATCAATGAGGTATATAAAATATATATAGCCAATGCACTTATAGGTCAATATCTATCTCATCATAAACCGTCCTACCTTATGAACTTACCAACACAGTTATTTACAAAACCAGCGTTTTTTTACACAAATGATAATTTAATGTAAAGTTCAAACGTAAATGTTTACGCATGACCTTTTTTTCTGCGCATTTGTATGTCATAAGACTTAGTGTTCTGACCTTAGAAAGTATGTAGGCATTAAATGAAATGACGACAAGATGTGTTATACACGCGGAGTTTAAAGTTTATGAAATCATTTTTACAAAACATTTATATGATAAATAAAGGATCTTACTGAGATTTCATTTCAAATGTTAATACCTCTATTCATAATTGAATAAAATAGCGATTCAAATTTCATGCATGCTTAAATTAAAGTATATTTCTTACTTGTCATATTACATTCACGTATTACCAACATTTAAACATGTATACAATAATTCATAGAAACTATACAAAGTTGTTCGATATTGAACAACCCCAGTCACTGCGAACATGTCCTTATACATGAGAAAGAGTAAAATAAGAAAGAAGGCGGACGGGATAGACATAAGCTCGCGGCCATTTATTTCATTCTGCTTATCAACACTGCATGAATATTGGCCCTTTCAAACGAACCACGGTCTCATTGGGTTTCATTTTCTCAGACTAATGTTAACAAATGCTGATGTTCATACTTGCTTGCAGCTGTAAAAAATGTGCATTTCACCATACACAAATTATATGCATTCTGATCGACAGCATTGATGACGTTTAAGTTGGGAGGCGGGGTAGGGGTAGCATTGGTATTCTCAAGAATATAAACAAATAGTTTCAATTTTCACTTTATATCAATTTAATTGTAATCAATACTGGTAAGCACTTTTGTAAAGATCTTTTTCATTGAAGTCCTGTAAGTCGTGTATGGCAATTAATTGAAAATAAAGACAATATACAAAATGTATATCTGCGGATGAATATATTTAGATATCTAATGATAAAAAGGTTATGCAATATAGACCATAAATCTGTCCCAATCCAGATGAGGATTGCTGTATAATGTTTTAATGTTTTTACAATTATATATTTTATTTGAGTTTCGAAAACATTTTCTCTGCAAATAAAAGCATAATATGTGGACACACTACCGTGATAATCCATGATCAGACTTATTTTTAAAAAGTAAGAAATGTTATTTCACAGAAGATATTTTTAGCTAGACGAAGAACTTGGCTTGATTTCAGATCATTGCTCCACGTTTGTCCTGTTTTGTTCTATACTGTAACTCATTGCCAGCTTGCAGCAACTGAAAGTACCAGTGCAGACCAGTGCAGACCAATATCAGTCTGCATATCCGTGCCGTCCAATCATGGTCTGTACATTTCGCAATTCAGTCTGTACATGTAATTATTTTGCAAATTTTCCCTAAATAAAAACTCAAGTTTCGTTTACACCGATATCCTTGAAATAAATGTTCATAAATTGCCGAATTTAGAATATCTATGACAGGCTTGTATATTCTTTTCATTTTATGATTTTACGAAGATTTAAGAAACTTGCGTAACGATAGTACATTGTACATGTATATTAAACGTTATAATAAGATGTGTGTCATATAAATGATGAATTAGAATAAACAGGATGATTATTCACACAAACACACATTGTATAGAGGATATTGAATGAGTGTAAGTTCAATACTGAATTTATTGCACGAGTTGAATAAAATTATATAATGCGAGCCTCTGGCGAGCATAATATTATTTTATTCAACGAGTGCAATAAATTCAGTAATGAACTTACACGAATTTAATATTCTATTTATCACATACCCAAAATAAAGACCAATAAGAGTTATTTTCCGTTGACGCGCCTATAGTAGAACGCTAACATTTAGCGCGTCTTTACACTATGTTTGCATCGCTAATGACGTCACGTCAAAATATATGCACGGCCGTGCAATACCATATTTACGGAGTCGCAAAATCGGCACGGGTGTGTGATAAATACCTTTACTAGTTTTATCACAAATTTTATTCAAATTTTGAATATCCCTGTTCTGCATGTCACAATATAAATTTCTACAAGTGCAACATCCAGAACCTAAGCACATGTGCATCAAGTCTATTCTTATCGTTATCAATTGTGATACGTCTATTTTCAATGCTTAAAGTTTTATAGATGATTTATGGCACTAGAAATATTCTTAGCAAAATCAAGGTAGTATCTACGGTGGCATAAAGGGGACATAGAATTTTCTTATTTATTACGTGCGCACACAATAGCTTTTTTCATGGCCACGCGATACTATTACGTGCGCACGCGATAACTATTACGTGTGCAAGCGCATATGTATTGCGTATTTGGACCCTGCCTTGGATCCTCGCATGAATAGTTCGACGCCCCGTGTATGTGTCGAACCTACAGCAGTTAGGGGCAAGTGGTTTTTTGAAATCACTCGGCTACGGAGGCCCTTAAATGATCCATGGAAAAAATAAGAAGACCATTACACGCGTTTTTCCTTTTTATCAGAAATATATGTATAAAAAGTCGTCATTTTACAAGAATTTCGGCTTTCAGACTCGCCATTGAAAAGGCACTTACAACATGCAGGAGTTCCTAAAATAATCCGGGTAATGCCATAATTATGGAATATAGGGCCACTCAGAATCGGGCGAGACGCGACATTCCGATGAGACACCAAGCGAAGCACGATATTGTAACAGGAGATCTCGCAATGTTAAACTATCCATTACGAAGAGATTTCAGAAATGAATAAATTTTTACTTCTTTAGATAGGGCAAGTATGAATTTATTAATATTCAAATAATAACCCAAAGAAATTCGCGATAAATGTGAAATAATGCGTCATAAAAGTAGCAAAATGTAAACAATGTAGTACTTTGACTTTAATACAAAATTCTAAATCACTTCAACTGTACAAACTGCAAAAAAGCAGCAGATGAAAAATGCTTCAGATAATTAGCCAATGAGTAACTTTTTGGAGCTAAAAAAGTATACCAAAGAAGAATACAAATAAAAGCATTTCTCATGCATAAAAGGGCCTTTAAGTGATTTTATGTAGACTATAAAGGGAATTCTGCTTAGCGGTATATGAGCTGGAATCAATTTCTTGTCTCGCTTCGACGAACGGGATGCGAAGCGAGACGCGAGATTTCGCGAAACGCGAGGTTTCGGCGAGATGCGAAACGAGTCACGATATTATATCATTCAATATCAACCGATTACGCTGTTCCGTTTGGACATAAGTAACATTTTGTCTCCCTGAACAGCTATGCACAATGGTACAAAGGTGAAATTGAGATGGTACGTCGATGGTACGATGATTAAAACACGATGACATGATGGTGAAATCACGATGATGCGATGACACGATAGAGAAAATAATATCGCGTTTTCATCATCATGCCAAAGCAGTTTCACCATATCGTACCGTCGTGTTCTAAAAATTACGATATTGAACGGCCGTGCATATATTTTGACGTGATGTCATTTTCGTTATTCAAACATAACGTTAAGGACATCCTAAATAATAGCACTGCACCATAATATAATAAACCATATACAGTTCTTGTTTTGGATATATGATCAATAGAATATTATATATAGAATACAGTTGGTTCAATAAATTCAATACTGAACATTCACTTATTCAATATCCACTATATATTAATTATTATAATTGGAAAGTAACATTAACCTTTCATGGTACACAATACAAAACTCAAATCACTTGCTACCTTATTTTTCAAGTACGGCACTGGGATGGCATTTAGAGAAGCGTGACCTATAACCCTCTGCCTCTGTGACGTAACGTTGTCAACGTCGCAACGTCAAAAACAGTTTTGACCGTCGGTACCACAAATAAAAACTTCTATGTTCGCTTAGGGAACAGATAAAAATGCCCCGACATTACTGAACTTGTTCAGAAGCTGTTTCCAACGGCCTGCAGAAAATGGATCTTCGAACGCGATATGGAAATTGAATAAGAAAGTCGAAGGAGAATTTAATTTTATTGTACCCCGGAAAGATTTTGCAAAATTTTGCAGATATGAAGCCGAAAAGATGGAGCGATTCTTACTGTAGGTCCAGTAACATGTTTCTTTACATGTATATAGTTCCAAGTAAAAGATTTTCAAAGAACCAGGTCCCGACTTTGAGCGGATTCTTTATTACTTCTGGGACAACTCTTCTTTGTTCCTTATGCAAAAGGCTGGGTTCCTACAACAGCAGACGAAAAATCTTTATTGTCGAATTTAAAATAAGAAAATAAAGCATATGACGCCTTGTGATACAAAACCAGTTTATATTAAAGAGAATAGCCCGTGCAACGATGCCAGCAAAAATCCTACAAGATTTAACAATTCCAATGTTGGTTCCGAACTAAAAAGTGAATCAAGAATGGTTCCACCAAAAAATATTCGCAGGCCCACCACTTATGAAATCAAACTACAACTGGGGAGTGCATAAATACATGGAGTAGACACATGGCCCCGGAAAGTGAAGACTATCATCCCGTTTTCATCTATGATCGTATTAGACAAAGCAGCCTTTTCCATCAGATTCAAACATGAGAAGCATTAGAAGTGTTTAGACAGGGATATCGAAAATGCCATTGCAGGTAAACTATCAATGATGAGCGCGTGTCAAAATGTTCGGATAAGTTAAAACGGTATGGTCGTCTCCACGATAGATACACTTGACAGAAGAATAAGACCACGTACAGCAAGAGGAAACGAACGCGCCATGCCATTTAGTGAAGAATCAAATGACATGGTATAAATAATAATCAAGCGGTAATTATAAACTTAAGTAAACTTCACATCAGCGTTAATCAGTAA